AAGTAATATTTTCGCCTTCTATATCTACTATTTACTGCATGTTCAGAACAGACTCTAACCACACTGCACCTCAATAATGTTCGAATCAGTGATCAAGGAGTAGAATATCTCGCTACAACTCTCCAACAAAATCAAGTAGTATTTCCATGTTGTCATCTATCGTTCACCGCCTGTTCACAACAGGCACTAACCACCCTGCACCTTAGTAATAATCGAATTGGTGATCAAGGAGCGCAATATCTTGTCAAAGCACTTGAACAAAACCAAGTAATATCCTCATCTTTTCTCTCTATCGTTCACTGTCTGTTCAAAAAAAGACACTCACGCCACTCCTGCTCACTAGCAACGAAATCGGTGATCAAGGAGCACAACATCTTGTCAAAGCACTTGAACAAAACCAAGTAATATCCTCATCTTTTCTCTCTATCGTTCACTGCCTGTTCAAAGTAGACACTAATCAGACTGAATCTCTTATGGAATCGAATCAGTGATCAAGAAGCAGAACATCTTGCCTATATAATGAAACAAAGACGAAAACAATTTTAATTTCTTTTGATGGCATGAACTACTTCTTTGCTCAGTGATGGGCAAGTCAAGTCACAAAAACATATATATATATACATATATGTAGAGGATTTTTACACACTTTAGTTTTAATCCCTAATATGAGATGCGAAAGAAAAATATAAATAAAGATAATAAATATTTCTATAAACTGAATTCAAGATGAAAGAAGACTGAAAACTTTATAGTAAGTAAAAAGCTTTTCCAACTTGTATTGATTATTTCGTTTTGCAATGATATGCGTTATTTTAATGTTTTCAAGAAGAATAGAATATATGAAAGAATCATTTGGAATATAGAGTTGACTAAACTTAACCTAATCTAACGTGACTTGTGATTGAAGAGCCTCCGAATTGTCCATCTCCGTTGCTAGTGCCATTTCCAATACTGTACATGAGCATGTGGATTTAGTTATCAGAGTCCGTGGATATTTTAATTTATCTTCACTCGTACTCATCTCTGTTTGGAAGCGATATTTTTCAAGAATTTCAATTGTGATATTTATTTACCTACGTTGTCTTTTGATCGTTTGCATTGTTTTTGTGTTTTCTCATGATTTGATTTGAAACCGAAATATGTTGTTCGCTTCTCATTGTCAATCAATACAGTGTAGGTAGAATGCGCAAGAATCGTTGTTAGAAACAAGGATCTTTTGACTGAATTGAATTTGAAATTATGAAAGAAGCTTTCTATTATATTCCAAATCTGAGCCGACGCGGTGTAATCAAATGAAATGGCGTGCAGATATTCATCGTGGTATGCGATAGTAGATCGATAAGTTTTGATTTCAGAAAAGTGGAAGCTATGTAATTATGAACAGATGAATAAGGAAGATTTTCATTGAAAGTGTCTACATCATATAATTGTGATTAGAATGCGAGATATCCTCGATCTAGTGTTTTTCACTCTGTGAATTGTAATCCATATTCGATGCGTACCAAAATAGCTAGTAAAGATAGAGTATCTTTTAGACATTAGATTCATGGATTCTTGGATAGAATCACGTTGTTTTCAAACCAACACATGGATCCTTATAATTTGATGAAGTCTTTTAGAGAAATAGATTTTCTGTCAAATTGTTCGTTTGTATTGTATGTCTTAGGCATCGTTCTATTGGATGGTGTTGAACTGAAACATTCTGATTTTTATCATCTAAGTGAAATATGTATATGACCAGGTTCTGTGGTGGCAGGATCTCATTGTCGGCACATAAAATCTTAAAGCATCGGTGTTTACGGTAGTGCAGCACAGCATCTTGCAGTTGATGTTATAGTATTACAATCACAATTGATTATGGTAGTACGTACGAGTAATTTTTTTGTTTTTGTTTTTACAGCAAACATCTATTATTTTTAAATAGCCAGGTTATTCAATCCTGCCTATGGATCCTGTCGAATTAGATGGGCGGATCTTGTCAGAATCGCTCGAATCTTTCTGTTGGAAAAAAAAGCGGATAACGTGGGTTTCGTAACAAATCTAGCAGGGCTTCATCGAAATTTGACACTCAGATTCTGGATCGGATTGTTTTGAAAACATGTCAGTTCAATCGTTTTAGATTCACTTATCGAGTTGCATCAGATGTTGCTAAACTGTCTTATGAAACCAATTGGAAAGTGTGAGGATTCATGAACTTTTGGTAATAAAACCTACAACAGATTATGCCAGAAAAATCTGTTGTTAACTTTAAAGAATTTCCCCAGCTGTTCAATCATTTTTACTTTGACTCTTTGTTCAATTGCCATATCTTACTCATTTATTAAATATCAAAAAATGATCTGCTTTTCTACGTCTTCTTAGTAGAGACATTCATATATGACTATATTCAATTTTTGAGTTGTGAAATTAGATAATATACTCTATATTTCTACTAAATAGGTTTTCGTCGAGTCTTAATACTTGTCTTTCGATAGATATTCAGTGTTACCTATTATTTCAAAGTTTAAAGATGAATTGATCTGTACTGGAATAAATACAAATTTGCAAGATGTATGTTTAATACAGACTAGAAGTATCGATTCGTTTCAACTGCCATTGAAACTTTTAGTATTTTGCAACGCAGATATCATATAATCTCACTAACTACAAACATTCAACTCTATGTTCTGTAAATCTACTTTACTCCAAATTTATAGATGACTTGCTGATGATATAATTTCTTGTGCGACTCTTGTAAGTCAATGCTTCATTTTTTTTAATCGAAGTATGCATGTGCTAGGAGCAGTTCCTAATCCAGAGCATTCTTTAAATAGTGAATAGATGCTGAAAATGGCAACCTAACCAATCAATTCATTCTAATACACGAACACATTCTCTATTGATATAGCCAAACGACATGAAAAAAAATGTATTTCCATGTCTAGATTGATTCATCTTTTAAAGTTAAGATAATTAATTGATCACAATAAACACCTATAGAAACACATGAATTAAAATTCAACTAAACCTTATTTAGTGGAAGAATAAAATATATTATCATAGTTAAGAGCTCGAAAATTGAATGTAATGATATATGCATATCTCTACTCAAAAAACATCGAAAATCAGATCATTCTAGGATATTTAATAAATCACTAAGATTTGGCGATTAAACAAAGAGTCAAAGTAAAAGTGATTGAACAGTTGGAGCAGCATCCTCAATATATTTCGATTCTCAACAAAAGCTTTCAATTAAATAAATCCTTTTCTTTTTTCAATCTTCAGACGTAGTCGGTAACAATAACATGTCACCAAATCTCTTTTAAAACAGATGATCAATATTTGGTCAGAAAGATCATTTACTAGAGTCTCTTTAACACTACACAAAGAAAAATTATTAACAAGAACGAGTTTCGGGACGAATTATCCACAAATATATTGAAATGGAATTGAATTATATGAGAAATCTTCAGAGAAACGCTTTCGAGTATGGAAAATCTGAATACACCATTGAAAAAAGCTCACTAAGTTGTACTTGCAACCAGAATATGAGACTTGGAGACAGTTTCTATTTGAATCCTGCACGAATATACTCAAATCCATATCTGCCTTTGCTTGCAACATGCATACAAAGTCATATCAATACTTCTTTTAATGAGTATTCCATCATCAGCTTACCTATAGATTTACTTAGTTATTTCAAAACTGAAATACTGTGCTGAACTAGGTTTCAGAATTGTCTAGAGACTTCTTCTTGGATTAACAAAGAATAGATGCAATTGAACACTGACTCTAATCAATAATTAGGGTGTGGGCATGAGGGTGGCTGAAAAGAAGATCAATATCCACATCCACGCCACGCGGCCATGCTCACCCTTTTATTCTATTTCATATTTAATACTTTAACGTATTAAATAGGTGTATATATACATAGCACTTCACTTCTACTATACAGACATATATTCGTATTAAATTCATGCTGTATAGTTTTTAAACGCATGATTTAAAACACCAAAGTGGTGCGAGACTTTTGACGCCCACTCTAAATTAATAACAGAATTCACAAAAAAATAGTCAGAAGTCGAAACTATCATTGAACGGACAACAACCAAAATTATAATAATGACTGCAAAAAATACGACAGAAATGAGTATTACCTTTACGACAGACATCATAATTTCACAAATAACAACAATCGACATGCGTACAGAACCAATCAGTTTATCTAGAGAAATATCAACAGCAGTGATAACTCCAAACTACTTATTGAAACACGAAATCACACCCGAAATGAATTTCAAAAATGAAGAAAAAAATCAGAAACGTCAAGAAATTTATCAATAAAACTGAATATAAATCAAAACAATGAGCCTATGAAGTGACTTTGTTTTTATGCTTTTTTTTGATAATTAATTGTCCAATTCTTTTTAAAAAGTATCGAAGTATAAATGCAGAGTGTATAGTTTCACTTCTCTCTATTTTTGTTTATTACCATAGTCTTATAATGACATATATATTTTAAAATACATGCAATAATTTTTGTACAGAAATACTGTTCACGTCATTGACAGAGAAACGATGAGTCATTGCTTTCACTTTTCACCTCGCCATTGTCATTCACAATTGTTTAAATATTTTTTTTTAATCGAATCGCATCTGAAACACGGTTGACATGCGTTCTAATAGTGAAAGACGAACGCAAATAGATGCAGCTCACACGAAATATTTTTTTCGTGCAGCTTTTACCTAGGCAGCATCGAACAGTTATTGATTTTTTTTCCATCAGTTTCAGGTTTATTTTTTTGTTTTTTCATTCATTCACTCTTTCTTTTCTATGTAAATAAAGAGTTGACGTACATTTTCTTTACGTCTATTTGCTTACTATGAACAGCTTATGAGGAGGCGATCAAATGATGTCATACTCACATAGCTGATTCATGCTGCTAGTTTGTCACGTATATAAAAGCATGCATGATTCACTGAAACCTTCAGATCGAATCAAAAGTAATAGAGAAAATAAAATGGCATCGGCGTCTGCACAACCAGAAAATACAGCATCTCAAAAAATGTCTTTAGGTAGTTTGACCGATGTAACTGGTGAATTTAATGGTGGTTCTTACAAAATAGATCACCGCGATACAAATACACTTCTTTCAGTAACATTATTAGCTAATACTCCATTTTATGCTCAACCTGGAGCTATGGTTGCTATGAGTCCAGAAGTAACACTCAAGGGTAAATTTA